GGGGGGGGGGGGGGGGGGGGGGGGGGGGGGGGGGGGGGGGGGGGTAGCGGGCACGGAGAGGACCCCTCTTGAACAACCGCATTATACTAGTCTCTGGGAAGACGGACTAGACCTCAGCCCCTTAGACTATACATACTACCGGGTACGACGAGCGCCAGATAGACCAAAGTGCGCCATCAATTGCCTCTCAATCCCTACCACAACCCACCTCCGTTCGTGTTACTCTTCGCGACCGATTAACGGTGGCTGTGGGTTTGCGGGCGGAACCCGCGGTAGAAGCATCTTCACGCGAACTCAGCTTGGTCGACTCTTCACGCAGTCCTACAAGGAACTCCCCGTATGATGCCCCACTCTCCGCAACCTCGGCAACTTCAAGGACCTGTCCTTCGTCAACCACAAGTTCAACGAGAGCAAAATCAAGAACATCACCAGGTTCCGGGCCTTTCGGAACGAGAAGCTAGACAGGCAAGTGTGTGTGAGGTTCAAGCAGTACATGCACAGCGCATCGTGGCATGGTCTGACAGGGCGCGGTGAATCTCACATGGACGGACAACCGCGTGTGATGTTCGCTCTCTCAGCGCCTGCGTTCGACAACATGCCTCCCTTTCAACTGAAGCGGGTCGAAAGCACACTCATCGCCATGATCGAAAAGCGTAACGAAGCGACGCGAGACCGTCTAGAGACTACCTTCGCTCTCGGTAAGAGGAAGAGCATATCCTCGTTCCTGCTCCTTGAAGGCTTTTGACCGAGTTCAGGATAGCATTGACATGCTTTTCAGTCCGGTCCGAACCAAACATTTCGAAAGTAAACCCAGCCGAGTCAGCATCCGCTCACGAACAGCAGGCGCCAATAGTTCCATGTGTCTGGCTCGATGCCCCGTGTACGACCGATGATAGACCATCTACACCACATGTACACGTTGACAAGCGAGCCGGCGACCTACCGTGTGGACTCCCAAATATTAGTATCGAGTGCCCATTTCGAAAGTTTGGCCTGTATGTCGTTGTTGTCTCCCCCAAACAAGAACGACATCACTTGCCATACATACTTCCCGACCGCAGCGCCTGATGGTACGGTGGATGCAGTTCTGGACGAGCAAAAATGTTCGTTGGACCTGCTGCGGACCGGTGGATCGATGAAGCGATTTGGTCTCCCAACATGTGGCTTCAACGTTCCCTCCCGCCTGCAATGGCACAGGTCCCTTCGGCTCCTCCGGTGGCCTCCAGAGCTGACCTTTCCCAGCCGTTGCCACAAGCGAGGTGTAGAATGTCGACCGGGAGACAGAGGGGCCGCAATCCTCGGCCTCCAGTTACACCCCCTACGCCTGAAGTCCGCGAAATCATCTTCTTCAACGCCGAGGCCGACCCCTTTGTCCTGGGAGAGATTATCCGCATCATCGGCGCCACCTGGAACCGTCAAGATCCACTGGTATAGTCCTGTTAACTAGAAGGTCCGGCCTGAGGCGGGACTCACGGCAGTGGCGGCATATGTACGGGCACGATTCAGCAAGGACTTTATTTCAGAGGAGGGCAAGAGGACCTCAACCCCGGATGTAGGGGATGAGCCGATGACAGGCATCATCGCGTGTTGCCGTCGACTAACGACAACCAGCAACATACCGGTCGAAGTGCGGAAGGTCTTGGTGGTGGCTTCGACATGTCGTTTAGCGGTTTCCTCTTCGTCGGAGAGCGAGTAGAGTCCCGACTGGGGCTCAAACTCTTTGCACTTGTAGGAGGGAAGCGCAAGAGCCAGATAAGGAAGGACGCTCTGACGAAAAGACGGGTACGATTTCGAGCACTCCAGAGACTCTCCCATCAACTCAATGAACCTATGCGGGTTGCTGATCCGGCTATTTAGAAAGACGTGACGCTTTTCTACACAACAATCGGATCTTCGTAGATGGCAGGACCAGGGGAAAAGCGGTGCGGACTGCATGGTCGGACGTTCGGAACTTTTTCTGTAGTGGACATGTATGTGCCTGTCCGTCTGAGATCTGTCCGTCTCGGTTGGTGGGCTCGTCGACCTACAGTACGTCGCTCGGTGGTCAACCGGTCAAAACGCCATATTCATTGCGGCGCAAGTTGTTGCACGATCACGGCCTGATGAGACACGGCTTCTACCGTGTGCTTTGTTGAAAATTTTGTCATCTATTGGAGGAATCTCGGAGTATTCAAACAGCAGTCTCTGCCGCCGTTGAAAGTGCTTTGCGCACGCGGCGTGAAATTTGTTTTTTCGACGGGCCTGGCATGTTTGTATGTTCGCGTGAGAGGAAACACGTATCGGCCAATTGTTGTGCGCCGACCAAAATTAATTTTCTCAATAATATTTTCTTTATCAATCATAGGGAGCGGCTGTTATTCATTCAGTGCGTGGAAACCCCCAGGATGGCCATATGGGTTGCATTGCGTGTTTACTCAGAGGCGAACTCATGGCACAATACAGAAACCCTCTATTGATTGCAGATCATTTTGGATCTAAATAGTTTGCGGAAATTCAGAGGCTTACGCAGGCAGTGTTTGAAGGGGTGGCCGTTAGTTTTGTTCCAGGCCGTGATTTGGACGCCGCACTCTAATATGACAATTGTTCTGGCGAGTCCCCTCATAAACAGGCGTTGTGGAAATGACTCATCGAAGACGTAGGGCCGGCCGGATGGTGGTCCTGACAAAATCTGCGGCTCGAGGGACCAAGCATGCGTGTTTCTCTGCTAGCCGTGGTGGAATTAATTGGGGAAATCGGGTGATGGATTTGTTATTTGGCACGGTGGTGATGGCAAAGGCGACAAGGGAGTGAAGGGTGACACCGGTTTCGAAACGGTACCAGTCAGCGAAATCGGCGGGGTTTGGCCGAGCATGATGAGACATACGTATGCTTTGCGGGAAACGGAATGCGGTGGGGTTTCTATCTGCTGTGCAAAGGGGGACGTGGCAAATACTTTTCCGTCAGGCCCACGCACTATTGAGTGGAAAAGAGCACCACTTTTCTCGTACGTCGTTGGTGACTTTCTGGTGGTCGACGTTTTCATGACATTTGGTTTGAGGAACTCTCCTGGGGGGTGGTCCTTGGTGGCATCGGCTGGTGTGCACTCGCACAGGCAACGAACTATTTCAACGTGAGCATGTTTTCGGAGGCAGACGAAATAGCGCGCAACGTCCAGGTTGGGGTGTCCCCGCCTTGGGAGCCGGCTGTTCGCGCACCTCCGGGTGTTTCCGTTGCGCCCTCTTCGAGCGAATAGTCTACACGCCTGGCATTATTGTTGGCGAGATAGATGTATGTCGACGATATGATTGGTAGGGACGTGCCCTCATGGAAAGGAAGATATGCTGGGTGTGGGTTGGCTACTACTGACCACCTCCGAATGCTCGTAAGGACAGCAGACAATCCCCTGCCATCAATATCAAAAAAGAAGCTCACAGACTGATCGGTTCAGCAAGAGGTTTTGGATAAATATGGTGAATGAACAAGGATGATGGGGCGCGACTTGGGTCGAAGAACTGGGGTCAACATCGAAAAAAGGTTTGAGAATTTCGGATTGAGAATGTACAAATCGTTTTCACCGCAGTCCGATCCAGTGAAAAAAGTGTTCGTTTGCTTCCCCTGCGAAAATTCCTTGCGAGTTGTCGATGTTGGTCCGGGCTCCCCTGAGAGACCTTGTACTCGAACACGTGACTCGTGCACCCGTAGCTCCTGCAGCGCGTAATCCTACGTAAACCTCTCGTGAGTTGGGTGTGATGTGGCGCTTGAAGCGGCGAAAACCGCGTGCATCGGTGACCTTTGGAAATCAATCTCTGTCTGCAGCTCGTGCGTACGACAGGAGAAAACCGTGATGCAGTGACGTCTCGTGACCCAAGCAACGTAGGTCGCTCGGTCACAGGTTCTGAGCACAGCGTATCGCCACGTCGTGCGTTACGACATGGCTACACTGCTCGCGGCAATCAACCTCCGTGAGATAATTGTGCCGGCGGACTCTTGTACGAGACAAAGAGGTCCCAGGGGAAAAATGATTTTTTCGGAAATCGTCAAGGGTGCCCGCAGAAGTCATTCCGCACACCTAGGTAACCCCCCATCCCTGGTGGGCTGATAGCTGTTTTCGGGTTTTTACTTTTCATGGGGCTTAGAGCCCACTTCACGCAAGCAGCATAACCCTAACCCTAACCCTATGGGAAACACATCGTATTCTACTAGCGACGACGTAATACGAACACTTGGAGTGGGTTAGGTGCTTGATGTTCGTCCGTTCGTTCGATTTTCTCCCATCGTTGGACTCTGTCGTCTACCCCTCTGGCCCCTCTCTTCCACTTCTACCAGCTAGACGACTCAACCAGGGTCACATAGGAGGAGGGGTTGGACCTTCTCCTGCGGGGGTTGGACCTCCTTCTGCGGTTCTTGCCTGAGATATTTTTATCGCGAAAAGGGTACAGTAATCCCTTCCTTCGCGACTTGCGAAGTCGATCAAGTTTACTTACAACGAGCTTTGCAGCGCGTCGCTTCCAACGGAGACCAGGATTTAATAAGAGGGAAAAAGCTCACTGTCAGGACTCGAACCCATGTCCTGGTCCTTGGCAAGCTGAGAGGCTACCCACTAGACCACCGGGGCGACCGGCCGGTGAATTACGTGCCCGATTTGTGTGACCATGGGTCCGGGGTTCGCAAGAGAGGATCCTAGCTCGCGAATAGGTTACCCCAAATAAATATGGGTTCCGGGACCCCTTTGCTTTGTATAGGCATTCGAGTAACGTTACCCCCCCCCCCGAAAACCTCCCAAATGAGAAAATGGATACTAAGGTGTCGGAAAATTGATTTCGGGCGCCCTTGAAAATTTATGTAGCTTTTTGGTCGGAGAGACCGGAAGGGAGACAGATGGAGTACATGGGCGCTCGACCATCCAAGCAAAGCATGCCGACGGAGACACACTTTAACTCTATGCCGACGAAAACACACCTCGACTTTCATGTATATCGTGTCAATAATTCAGATGATAAAGACCACTTGGGCAGTGATCCAACTGATATCTAGACTAACGCGTACAAACACGAAACGTACTCAACACAGGTTGATCAATCATATGCTCAACTAATGGGCAAGGGAAAGTGACTCTAGCGAGGTACTTACGTGCGTAATACAACGCAGCAACTTAGTGTTGAGAATGACAGCTAGCTGCTGAACATTCGTATCGTATTATGTCAGGAACAAGATCAAAGTCCAACATCGAGAAACTTCTCCGGAAAAGAACAGTATTAAAAAGGGAAACAGAAAAGGCTCCTCCTATCACATGTACCCCAGTTAGTGCAGCATATCAAGCACGGGATGCACGCCTGCACTACTGTGTGTCTTGATACGAAGGTAAGCGACATTATGCGTATCACCGTTACGTACGGTGCGGTAAAAAATATCCAACCAGTACATTTCCCCTCGCCTTTGGGGATATGGAACGAAATGGCCCGACTAATGTGTTCGACGTTTCAGCCAATCGGGAAACGGGCCGATTCGCCCGGTTCTCAGACGCCCTTGACGCGCGGAGTGTGTCGGACCACGGATGCCTTCCCTCGTGTCCCTCAAGCCTGAAATGGAAGACGAAATTTGGAGGGGGAATCGGCTTCACGCAGCCATGCAGTCACAGTTGTAACATCTGCTGTTCGGTGCTATAAACGTGGCATATGTTCTCCGACAAAGGTATCGATCAGACACATGTTATTTCGGTTAGTTCGGGTTTGGGATGAACCGGTTGACTGTCAGCAGAACGTAGCTCGTTCTTCTTCCATACCCCTTGTCAAGACCTTACAATATCGAAGACCATGCCAAACTTTGTTCGGCAGCGGAACTTACATGCAAACATATTGCTGAAAACCATCCTGAACCACGCGCGTCCCCACAGCCGAAGAGTGAGACGCTTGGTAACCTCTCGCTCGGCGCGCTGCAAAGTTCCGTGAACATTGAGATAGACTGGGATTCAGACTTACACGGATGGAAGGCGACTGGTCTAGATTTGGGGTTGGGGCAAGCGTAAGGTTAGCCATGATGTCCCTTTCACTGACGTTGAGGCACCGCCAACGATGCACCTATTGAAGGTCTGGGGCAGATATACGAACGACCATGGGGCAAGTGTTTTCTCTCCCGGTCTATGTTGCTGTATGCTTCGCAAGTCCGCAGTTGTCACATACCGGTTGCGCAAATTACGGTACATATCTCGCTTTTACAGAGTGATTTCCGCGGCTTGAGGTCACCTCAAGCCGACTACCTGTTCTCGCAGCGATAAGCAAAGTGCACGAATCTATCGAGACGGCAACGTAAGCTTTCCGTCCCAAAGGTGTTGCGCAAAGGATGCTAAATGGAGTCCAATCTGTAGGGCAATGTCCACGAAAAATATACTCGAGGGGGGCAGAGATCACATTTTTTGGGGGTGGTTCAACTTACATCAGCTTCGTTTTCTCTCTCGTCGACGCTCCCCTTCCTGTTTCGAATCATCCCATATATCGACACGGCCGTATCCACGTAGAGCGGTATCACCAGCACTGTCAACAAACGAACGGATGTCGCAGCAACAATATTGGGGGAACAGCGAGGAGAATCCAACAGAGCCGGCGACAAGGTTTGCTCCCTTTCGCTGATGGTGAGGTTGGAAAATATGTACATGTTTTCGTGCTTCTTACCAGCAGCGGGTTGGAGAAAGCAATAGTAATCTACGGTAGGAAATACCGCGAGCAACTGACAGAACTCCAAATTCGAGGGCTAAGATCAGTCGGGTATGTGCCGAAAAATTGCTGGCATCGTTTGCTGGTGTCAACTGCATCTCACCTGCAATACACAATGCCTGTATGACCATGACCGCCGTGTCCATCCTTGCGGCTGTTGCAGTCCCGTTGAACGTGCCAGCGGCCAAGGCTAGCATCCCCATGCAAACCGCGTCGGTCAACATAACCATTGCTGCCACTGCATTCAGAACGCTGAGTAAACGCGGCCAGGATAACAATATCGAACAAGACAAATAGGGTTTGGCCACACTTGCATAATACAGGCACAGAACGAAAGTACTTTTGATGTTCTTGTCAAAGCAACGGCGTCGTTGTTGAGCACGTCTGTACTTACCTTCGCGACATACTTGAACCTCTTTACCTTGGCAATTGTCGTGTGAAGGAAGTATCAAGACCCCCGCGCGTGCCGTTGCTAAGCCGTGGGTGCAACAAGCGAGGGGTCACAACACCCTTTCTTTCGTTCAAGTATGGGCTAATTCACGGTTAACGCTCAACGTGGATTCTCCGTCGATAGTCGTTCAGGATGAGAAACTAGTTCGTGTCACGTACCAGGCGCGGTCAGCACCGTGATACTGCTCTGGATTCATTTAAGGCCTGCGTTGACGGCGTCAACGCACATCTCCGCAACCAACCGGATCCCGCAAAAATCTCCGAAAATAAGTCCTCAAGCATCGCACGGTCAACCTTTGCTCGTTTTCACGAACAAAATACTCTAACCATTTTCCGTACGCCTTCGAAGGACTGTGAGAAAACTGTATCACAAAGGTGGCAAGTGTGTGCTGTGACCGTTGGCATGGTCAGGGGCTATCTGGAACAAGCAACAGAACAGAGAGGGCTGGGTTATCGAATCTTGAGTAGAGTAAACTGGGGTATCAACGGGCAACCCCAATATCGGACACTTTTTTCAAAAACCATATCCTGCCGCTCACCCCGCGGAAAGCTGTTCTATTTCTCATTGTGTTGCTAGGGAGCTCATCTTTCATTTGAGCTCAAGTTTACTCAATTTGGTGATCCACTTCGTTCTAACAACATGCGGCCCCAGATGATGTAGAATTTTGTCATTTTCCTGCCCACGTGGTGGCTGCCGCTAAGCCCTACAATCAAAACAACATCTGTTTTTTCTCAAACGGAATCTATGATGTAGTCTAGTGGTGTATAGGCCTGCACGCCACTACGTGGTATAGATTTCGAGCCTCTGTTCCATTAATCGTTTTGTTCCTACTTTTTTTTCGCTTGTTCTTCTTTTCCTAACTCTATTTCGGGCAAGAAAGGGGCCGAAAATAGTGTCTGAATGTCATACAGAGACGACACCAACTCCAATGGCACCAAAACTTTGCATAACGTCTGCTCTAGGGTCGCTTGCTACGACACTGAACTAAAAAACGAGAAAGAAAACGCTCCCAACCTCTGTGCACGACGCCTAACGTGGGCCTGATTCGGCCCAAGAGCAGGCCCAAAAAACAGGGGGATTCCTGTTGCGGGGGGCTCATAGTCAGGGCATTGCATGAAGCGGTATTTTTTCACTGTGCAGAGCGGTTAAAACCGCTCCACTCCGTTTTTGCTCTCGCTGAAATGTCGTGCTTCTATTGGATTGTTACACGATGAGAATGAGAGAAAAGGTCAACACATACTACAATCTAGATACACGCTACAGTAGTTGTCCCGGTTAATGCCGGCCGCCCTGCATGATACTGGGACCATTACTGTATTACAGAAGTCTAGAGTTCGAAACTCCCCGTCATGGTCCAGAAAGAATCGACACATCATCGCTGGGCAAATGCCCAATCAAACACCGAGTATCGTTTGTCAACACAGCTCTGGAACCGCTTCGGACGCTGAGGTTGGAAGTGTTTGGAACCGGAGGTTTGGGTTCTTTTCCATCGAAGCAGCGAAAACTGTTCGTCCGCGATCTCTTCGGACCGACACGTGTTCTTTTGAATTTCGTAGCAACTGTCGGGATGTCCTTGCCACATTTGCCAGTGATTGAACGACTTCGACTTTATTAGAGTAAACCGGGGTATTAACGGACACCTCGCCGCTTCCACGCCAACAGCTCGTTCTCGGGTGTGAGAACGAATTTGAAGTGTATGAAAGTATCCAGCGGTAGCCAATGTCATAGGCTACCTCTCAAAAAAATAAACAAAAAAAAATCACCCAAGCGTTGATGAGTTATGGATGTTGCAGTGTACCTGAAGCTTTACCGTAAAACGGAAGATAACACCCCCGGCGCCAATAAACGGACACTTTGCATTAGTAGTGATTTCTCACCATCTACTGAGTTTCAAAACTTGGCCTTTGGCACGCACCGTGGTGTTGGTAATACCAAGCCATTGGAAAAGAAAGAAAAAAAACGCCAATATACGGGGTGGACCGCGCTAGTCGGCTGATCAATGAAAAGACGTCAGTCTTAGTGCGGTTGAAAATACAAAACACTTCTATCTACCATGAACTGGGACCCCGTGTGTGTGTGAATGTTTCTCCACCTGCACTATTGCGGGGCACCGCGGTGCCCAACCTGCACTATATCGGGTATTCGCCTCAATAGTGCAGATCCTGCACTATTGAGGGCGCCGTCTGTGATCAGAAATTTTACCTGCACTATATCGGGCAGTTGCACTTTTCAAAGTGCACTATAGGGGGCCCACTATTGTAGCTGCACCTACTATCCATTCAGTTCTCACTGTTGTGCCATTTATCTCTCATTATTGTGAGAGTTTGGCTTTTCTGCGACAAGCAAGCTCGCATTTTTTGTTGCGGTCAGCGGTGCCGCTGGGCTTTCTTGAAGTAATAGCTAGGTTGGAGTAGTAAACCGATGAAACGATTACCCACATGATGATTTTTCGAACAGTTGGCTGTACACAAAATGCCGGTTTCGTGGGCCTCTTTTTCGGTATTTTGATGGGAAATAAAACGAAATTACTCCAATTATGTTGCCTCCGGCGGCGCCTCCAGCGGGGACCCCTCACCAGCCGGAGGGGGCCGCTTGGACTCGCACAGCGAGCTTCCGCGCCTTCGCGCGTCAGCTCATTGTGCTCGCCGGCTCGTTGCCCTCGCCACAACCGGCTCGCTCCGCTCGCCAATATCGAACACTTCACGGGCGACATCGTACCAATCGATCTGTGGAATCGATATCCAACCTTAATGCATGCCCGGAACGATCAGATTTCATCCGCACCGGAGGAATCGAACCAGGTCAGTTGCTATCATCACAGACAAGTTTAGGTATGCCGCGTTAACAATAACACACCAGAAGTAAATTGGACAGACGGAATGACATAGCGCGTAGACGACGAGTGGGCAAGCATGCTCCTTCAAACCACTCGTCGAACCCTGTCTACATCCACGATACGTAACTCCACCGTATCTCGGATATTGCATCTACCTCCTTCACAAGCTACGTCCACTGAAGTTCGGAAAGCTGCTGTCCTGAAAACAAGGTTAGATTCCTTCATACTTCGTCGAGCCGGCACCACCATACGGTTATTGCGGAGCTGCTTTTGGTTCGAAGGTGAGACTTTCATTCCAAAAAAAATATTCTGTGTGCTCATCTGTAAGCGTGTTTTATACGCCTTGTCCAACACAACGCATCCAAAAACATGGCGTTACTGCTCTCAGGCGGATCTCCTTGCTCCTGCATCCTGCAACACAGGACTGCTGGTTCACAGCCGGTTCGGGTTCTTGCTCCTCGTCCTTCACCTCCCAACCATCCCAACCAGCCAATTCGTACCGATGTATGCATACTTCTGTGCTCCCTTTCCTACACCACCCAATCGATTCGTACCGCTGTACCTCTGTCCTATACCGTAGCCAATATATCACATCCTAAAACGGAGCAGTAGTTCAACCTACGTAGGATCCGCCGAGCATCTTCAGCCCGTCTCAGTTTCTCAGTTTTCCGCCGGTCTTTTTTTTCCGCCATCCACCCGGCCTCCTCAGTTCCTTTCCCCTTTCATACGTCAATGATGCCGTTTCTCTACGGCACATGATCCTCCGACTCCCAAATATTATCAACCCTTTCTGGTCGCTCATCATCTTTACCTCCCGGTGGCGGTCCTGCCTAACGGACGGTCGGCGATTGGACCACCAGGCGGCCATCCAGCCTATTGGGCGGGCCGCCGCCTTCCCCTATATGCAAAAGCAGTAGTGCAGATTCCGCTCAGAGGCACTCACCTGTTCGCGAACGGCTTCCAACCCACCAGAAGGACGAAGGTCAACGAATGCATGGCGCAGAACAACAGGAATTGCATCGCACTGTTGTCCACCAGCACAGCAATGCTGGCAAGGACAGCGCACTTGGTAAAAATACACGAGAGCAAACATCAAAATCCAACAGTTAGCATGTGCCGACATTTCGCAAAACACAAGTTCATAGTGTCCTTATGAACAGGCCACCTTTGCAATAAAACACAGGGAACATACCTACAGCTAGAGGTGCGGAAAGAAACAGGCTGGTGCTGTGAGGCGGCACGACTAAACCCACCTCAACTCAACGCTTCAAGCGTTCGGCGGTAACACGGAACATGGTGAAGCATTCAATATTTCGTGCGAAGGGGTGGGCGCTGTGAAGAAACAGCAACCCGGTGGCCAAAAATCAATACAATTCATCCACTGGCCGATTCTTCAAAAGTATATATCCTGCTCCGTGGACGGATAGGCCAGTACACTACCAAACCTATTGTAACGAGTTCGCTTCCAAAATGAAATCTTTGTTAGTGAAGGGGAGAGTCCTCCTAGAAAAGCGACATACCTCAATCAATGTGTAGATGATAAACCAGGAGCCAGCTTGCGTAAAGTCCGCAAACAACGGCTCGAACCCGATACGGAACCAATCAGCCTTACGTCTTGCTTTGTCGTTCGCCGTCTGGACAGTCTCCCACTGCCCCTTGTCCGCCCATGAAAACAAGCTGAAATCGTTTTTAAGCCCAGAAACCGTTCTGGACAATGTGCTCGGTTTGCCTGCAAGGGCCTCCTCGGTTTCACTAGACGCGAACACAATTAGGGCATCTGGTTGAACCCATACCCTGGCACGTTAGTTTGCAAAGAGGATAAACGAGAAACGACGCGACCACAATCCGGCAGACGTCGCACCAGGTCAGATGTTCCAGCGTTGAGTGAACGGGCGATCGCCACTCACAGATGCAAAAAGGATTTGTGACGGAACGGCACTCACAGAGCAATGCAAGTCTCTTCACAGATCTTCGCAAATGTGCGAGGCCCAGGAAAAGGCGGATGAGATCACTGTCGGAACCCAATGACACTACCACCAACACAGATACCCAATCAATACAGGAACACAGTAGGCCTTAAAGAATGGTTTCGGGCCGCGGATAACCCCCGTACTCTTGCAAGTAGACAACTTTCGTGGAGTAGGGGAATATCTCACCGGTGGGTTCGCGCGACCATTACAACCATCAGCAATGGGTAGAGAACCTGTATGCGCCATAGGAAACCCGAACAACCACGGATGTGTGTCAGAGAGCATGTGACCCGAACCATTAGTACGTTGCAGGGCACAAATTCACTGCTCTCATCAAAAATATGGTGCCGTGACCCTGGGAAGCAGCCGCGGAGGTGATACATACAGATTTAGGAAGCCCAGCCGAGACGCGGAAGTCTTGCCGTGCCATCGGAAAATCAAGCTGGCACGGCAGATGCCACGATTGGAGAGCCTAGCAAATACATGAAACCTTTTGGCGAATACAATTTCATCTGTGACAACTGGTTTAGACGATTTCTCCCAGTCTACCCGGTGAGATGTCTGTCCCGACTTATACATCGAAAAAAAAATAGCTACAGGTCGAATATCGTACGGCGTGTGGAAAGTCCATTGAACCGCGGGCATTTCCCCGAACAAGCCGGTGTACTACGTGCTTCGGGCCCGATCGGTTTCGGTCCAGTCAACTAGGGATCCCAAAGCGCTCATATGTGAAGCACACTTTGTCCACAGAAATACGTGGTGTCCAGTACCACCATAACACGTTATCTAACGGCGTACTGTCCCCTTTTGCCATGTCCTCACCAACGTTGCCACGGCCGCGTAGAGAATTGTTGATGAATTCGCACTCCGCAACGCTGCCATCTGCGAGGTTACCGCGCCCTCGAACGCGAAAAAAAGGAAGATGAGCTCCAGGTGTGGGTAGTGAAGCCACGGTGACTGCGAAAGTTCTCGACAATCCGACACCTGGCCGATGGAGTTGCCCGGACGGGTGTTTCTCGGCCCCCCTTCTTCTTCGTCGCTCTTTGAATCTCCACCGTCATAAGGGGATACAGCTTGACGTTCCATCCGTTGGGGTGACTGCATGATACCTGAAGACTGGCTCCCTGCCGAAGAGCCGTCGTCCATAGTTGGCTGCTGGGACCATGTACCCGACAAAGCAATCGGTATCTCGCTCAATGATAGACCACGACGCAGGGATCTTGAAATCACCTTCCTGGCCCGTTGCTGGCGACATCCACAGGAAACACAGGAGGGGAAATTCGATTCGTTGGTGTACGTATCCTGGCTGTCCTTCGTTGCAATCCCGGCTTCGGCTCCGATGCCGTGACACCACGTTCATCCGGAAAGACCACTCTCATTGTGCACGTCAAACAGTCGTGCTCTAATTGGCGGATCTGAAGCACCCCCTGGGGAGCTTCCCTACATCTGGCGCCCAGTTTCTCACCTTTGCCACCCAGTACGCCTCAACCACCGACGCCACTAAGACGTGCGACGTAAAGATGATCACAAGGAGCCCCGAAAACAGCGCCAGATTCCCCATGAACAACAGAGAACCAACATTGCTGGTGACTGTCTGGGAGATCGCGCTTGGCGTTGTATCATCTTCGTCGGAGGGTTGGTCGGGTTCGTCCGATATAATTCGTGATGCTATACCTTCCGAGAAGCTCTCCGAGGGCCATAAATTTACCCACCTTATTCGTGCGGGCGGCAAGTTAGCGACGGGAAAACGATGAAAACCGTGAAAATAGGGCCAATTCTTGCGTGCGTCCACATATGGTGCGCGTTCAGTTAGGTGGCTCCCAAATCGCATCACCATCACTAGTAACTGGAGTTCGTGGATGCGCATGGTCGTGCCATCGGCTCCTCGAACCGGCACATGGAGGGATTTGCCGCCTGACCTGAGGTTGTTCGTTAGATCAGAGAAGGCAGACTCCTCCGCTCCTGTAGTGTCCACGAACGACAGAGTTGCTAGAAACTGTATTTGCGAGGTAAGGACGAACGCCATCGTCGCCGAAGGGCTGCGGCATGTGCTCTGCGTCGCTGCCTGGGCCTGTTGGTGATCAGTACGAAGACAGCAAAAGAATACGAGTACAGGATCGTGAACACCTCGAGGTCTTGGGTAAAATAACCTATCAAGGATCACCACATCGGAGCCGCTACTCTAACAACGTAGAGGATGTGCTGTACTATCAACCATCCAATCATATATTCGCCCGTACATGGGTATGCACATAAACCACTATTCGCGACATACCGTTCCCCCCGCAACCATTGACGATGATGCACCACCGAGTACGGTAACGACGGTAGACGTCATCACACCCACAACGGAGGCGGTGGACATGACGGAGGCGGCACTGACAGCGACCTCCTGAACCTGCGGTAGAACGCGCGATAGGCAGCTCCAGTCGGTAGTGAGGTCAGGAACCGGTATTAATGGGTCCTTCGAGAACAGATTCGTGACCTAAGAGCAGCGTGTCACCAACGTGTCACCATGTTTAAATGTTAAATGTCAGCTGCCCATAGTTATTGCTACATGGAGTCTCACGACCACCGTATAAAAGCAACGAAGCTTACCTCTGCAACAAGCGTTGGTGCCATGGTGGGTGCTGCTGTGAAACCTCGTTCGCCTATGGACACAGCTTCAGGGCTAGCCGTGCGCCCAAGTCCAGGGGTTTGAATTACAGCTGCAATCGACGGAGCCAGTGTTGAGGCGAACTCTGGATCGAAACGGTATTCGGAGACAACTTTCAGGGGCAGCGTGAGTACAACGTGATAACAAGAGGCACGAGAATAGGCTCCAGCAGCAGGAGAGGTGAATCAAAGCGTGCTGGCGGAATGGCAGTCTGCAGCACTGGGAGATATGACCCGCAAAACTCCTTGAGCGCCAAAAACAATTTGTGGATTGCTTGGGATGCTACCTCATGTCCGGTGCCCTCGTAGTGCGTGGAAAGAGTATAAGACACAGTTCCATCACCTCGCGCGAGAGCCGTGCGAGCGATAATCACCAACTGACTATGGACGTATTGTAGCAGCGGCCGTAAGCTCTAGAGTTTAGCACCACCTTGAACCGGATCAGACAGGTGTTCATCAGTTCCGTGGGTCGAGCGGTGCTGACAGCAAAGGTGCCGCATGGCTGTGCGCACCAGCCGGTTAAGATGGAAACACCACGACGCCCTCGTGTGAAACACGAATACTCATATCCATCGGTGGTGACATCCTGTAAACCTTCCCATACACCAAACCCCATTGCCCTACGAAGAAATAGTCGCCGAACAGGTCAGCCACAATTCAAGGTATAGTTTTACGACGGTGGAAAGAAAAGTCCGGTGGAGCGTGTCTAGGCAGGCATTGATGGCAGTATTCCGTACCCGTTGTGTACACTAGGGGAGGCGGTCCCGCTCAGCATGGTGACAGGCCTACCCTGAGGGTTGGAGGAGCTACTTGATCGAGGTGTGTGGGTAGAAGCATTTCTTCCACAGTGAGAGGACTTGCTTCTGGTCGACCAGCGATGACGCTAGTCTACGGTGTGGTGCAAAATACGGAGGTGTCTCGGGCTTGGTGGGACATTCATTTTTGCCACGGAAACGAAAGGAAACATGCTGATTCGCACGTGCGGCGGACTCTTGGAAGTTCGACGACACCTCGGACAACAAACCATGCACGTGGTGTCACCTGAAGTGGGCAGCATGGTTCCACCAGCTGTACGTGCCGGGGTGGTCACGGCCATGATGATGACCACAATTCATTCAGCCACGTTCGCCCACACACGCCAGAACAAAGTAATTGGCAACAACGAGCGGGACAAGAAACGCAGTTGTCGGTTGTAATGCTTCTCTACATGCATGGCAATCGCTATAAGCAGTGTACGATACAACCCGTTCTGTCACACAATAACTTGCGATCAAACGCCACGACAATCGAAAAACGCACGTTTACAACCAGCACGATAATCATCAAGCGTGTCAGACCACCGCCAGAAAGACAGAGTTCCTCCGGGGATCACCTGGAGTGGGCAACATGGTTACATCAGCTGGCACTGCCTGTGTGGTCACTGTCATGATGATCATAATGTTTCATCCAAACCCCAACGCCGCCCTCGCACGCCAGAACGAAGCCAGCGACAGCAAACAAGCCAGAAGTTCAGGAACAGTTGATTGGCGCGACAGGTTTGGCGTGCACACGTAAGGGGGTCAGAGGCGAAAGCGCACAACTCGACGGTAATTGACCCGATTTGACGCACCCGATAAAAACTCTACCGGTCCCTACTCACACCAAAAACCGCGAATTACACCAGCAACTCCCTAACACCATGCGTGCTACAACACCATGTAACGCACAAACACGGGACGCTGAAGTCACCTCGAGTGGGTGGCGTGGTTACATAAGCAGTCGGCGCCGGCGTCGTCACTGTCATGATGGCGACAACCATCCACCCACACGCACGGTCACAACAGCAACACGTCGGACAGGCGTTAACGAACGCGATAGGCATCGCGCGTTTGAGTTTCATATGCGTGACTCGGATGCTGCATCGCACAATTCAAACTTCGTTTCGCGGAATTGACTGACCAAACCACCGCGGTACCGGACGCTACGCCGACCAATTATCCACGCATGTCAAACACCAAATCCCAGATCATCATACGCGTTAGATCAACGTCTGTTAGACAAACATGGAAGCCGGAGTCACCTGCAGTGGGTGGTGTTGTTACATCAGCAGTCGGCGCTGGCGTCGTCACTGTCATGATGACGACAACCGATAACCCACACGCACGGTTGCGACAGCAACGTGTTGGACAGGGGCACATCAGTTCGGTCGGCATCGAGTGGTTAAACTGTATCTGTACAGGGATCGGATACGGCAAAGTACAATTCAATTGTCGTCTCGCGGAATTGGCTGACCACCACCACCAAGTTACAGGACGCTACGCAAACCAAATTCCACGCATTTTGACAACCAGAACCCCGACCATCGTACGTGCTGAACCACGATCTGACTGGCAAACCTGAACGCCGCATTCACCTGAAGTGGGTGGCGTTGTTACGGCAGCAGTCGGCGGTGGCGTCGTCACTGTCATGATGGCGACAACCGTTCACCCACACGCACGGTTCCGGCGGCAAAAAGTCGGACGAGGGACAACCAAAGCGGTCGGTGTCAGGGTGATTTTGAACAAACCGTACGTGGATCGGGTGCTGCAGCGCACAATTCAACCGTCGTCTCGCGTAATTGAGAAACCATACCACCAAGGTACCGGACGCTCACCGACCAAACTTCATGCATTTCGACAATAACATCCCACCCCAAAGTGCTTAAGCGACACCCATCTAACCCACAAACACGGACGCCGACGGCACCTGAAGCGGCCGACGGCAACACGTCATATACCGCGATAAAAAAGCGGTCGGCATGGTGCGTTTAAACTTATTGAACATGAATTGGAGCTGCATCGCACCATTCAAGTGTCGTCTCCCTCAATTGGCCAACCAAACCATCACGGTACCGGACGCGACGCCAACCAAAATCTACGCATTTCCACATCCACATTTCCCATAAATCGTGCGTGCGGGATTACCGTCTGTCAGACAAATATGGACGCCGGAGTCACCTGGAGTGGGTGGCGTTGTTACATCAGCAGTCGGCGCTGGCGTCGTCACTGTCATGATGACGACAACCGTTCACCCACACGCGCGGTTCCAACAGCAACACATCGGACACGCGCAAGCAAAACGGTCGCCGTCGCGCGATTCGGACTCAGTTGGACGTGGATCGGATGCTGCATCGCACCATTCACCTGCGTCCTCTCGTGGTAGTGGCCGACCAAACCATCACGGTACCGGTCGCTACGCCAACCAATTATCCACGCATTTCCAACACCAAATCCCAAATCATCGTGAGGGTTAGATCACCGTCTGACAGACAAACATGGAAGCCGGAGTCACCTGGAGTGGGTGGCGTTGTTACATCAGCAGTCGGCGCTGGCGTCGTCACTGTCATGA